CTTCCTTCCTTCCTTCCTTCCTTCCTTCCTTCCTTCCTTCCTTCCTTCCTTCCTTCCTGTCTAGGGCCATACCACCCAGAACTTGCCCGGTCTCATCTTTTTGTTCTTCAGTTGACTTGAGGCTAGGTTATACAAAGTCTTGGTCATTTTAAACTATTGTTTTTTTTTTTTTAAGTTCATTTTTTTTTATTACACATAGTTAATACCAACCGGAGCATGTGAGTGCCATGGCGTTCGTGCAGAGTCCAGAGGATAACTGGTGGTATTTGGTTCTTTCCTTCCACCACGTGGGTCTCGGGGATCAGACGCCGCCGGCACCAGGCTTGGCAACAAGTACCTTTGCCTGTTGAGCCGTCTTGCAGGCCCGAAGTCGTTATTTTTTATCTGTCCTGGACTAGCTATCCCCAGCAATCCAAAAGCGTGTCAAAAAGAATGGCAATGTCGTTTTTATTTCAGAATTCTGGCCTTTGTAACGTTTGATACCCGGAACTTGGAGTACAGAATTGGTAGATGCCACTCTCTGTTCAACTCCGGTTAAATGAAGGCTAGAATGGACACACAGTAACACGACTCAGGGGCTGTCAGTCTGCACAAACTTTAGCCGAGCTTGAGGCAGACTTAGGATATGAGGTGTGAAAAAAGCCAAAGCTTGGCCGGCTCCTTATGTGCTGTGGACAACTGGCCACACACTCACAGGTCCTTGTCCTGAAAAGTTCAGTTCAGGAAAAGGCAGGGGCCACTTCTGTGGCCTTTGGCAGGAGGATATTTCCAGGTCAGTGACACCTATTTGCTGGGCCTCTGGAAGGCCTGGGCCCCTTGAACACAGGGTCCTGCTCCTGGTAGCTCTGTTGCATCTCACTACACAATCCTCCTCAAGAAAACTCTCCTGGATGTGTTCCATCCTTCTCTGAGTGTGTTCTTGAGGAGCTGACCTAGAAGAGAGGGACATGATGTGCACACGTGATTTGGATGGTTATCTTGCTGCCAGGGGGACCTGGAGTGCAATGTGGCAGGAGACGTGTGACCTGGGCCTGCTGGGGAAGATGTGTGACCTGGGCCTGCTGGGAAGGGTATACAGCTACCATCAGAGCAAGTGTAAAGCCATCCTGTCTAAGGTACAACCCCAAACCAGCCCAGAGTCACTGTGGAAAAGCTGACTTGAGCAGATGGGAGGGAAGTGGTGGTTGAGATGAGTTCTTACTACGAGCTGTGGCTGGCCTGGAACTCATAGGTAGACCAGGCTAGTCTGGAACTCAGAGAGATTCCCCCTGCCTCTGCCTTCCAAGTGCTGGAATTAAAGATGTGCGCCACTGCACTGGGCAACTGTGATTTTGTGTCTTAACCACATTGGTATGTCTAATTCTTAAAAACTATTTGATGAACACATTCTCTGTCACACCACTTACAATTAGCCCTGCTCCCAGACACCTCTCTGTCCCTGAGCTTGGGTCATTCAAGTGACATACAAGCTGTCCCTGTACCCTGTCATAGGGCAGACTTTCTCACAAAGCAGACTTCTTCAGCGTCTGCTCTGCCAACCTGGTTCCCAGTTTCTGGTCATGGCCACAGGTGCCTCTGTGGAGCATCCCCAGCTCTCTTGGCTCTGAAAATCCCAGAACATCTACAGAGTAAAACCCATATAGAGAAAGCGCCAGACTGTGTTAAGGCCACCAAGGATCCGGGAAAGGTATCTGTTAGCAAGGATTCCCTCCTCCTTCATCATCCAAACCAGGCCAAGTAGGAGGGTGGATTCGAACCAAGTTCGCTTTTGCTGAAAAGGAGTACACACCTGCCTGACAACTTGAGCTGTTTTGTCAAGAGCTCACGGGCCATGGTGTGAGGAAGCCATGGCTCTGTATCCATGCTGTTTGCAACGTCTCCCTGCCGTGGGGTCTCCACCCCAATTCCTTTTATTATCTGGCTATAGAATATGGAAGACTTGTAGCACTGAACAGCAGCAGCATTTCTGGTATTTTTAAAGCCGCCCCCCGCCACAGCACACACACACACACACACACACACACACACACACACACACACACACTTGCCCTTTAGTCACGGGACCTCATCTGCAGGGGAGGGTGTCTCCTGGATGGAAGTGTAGGGTATCTTCACAGAGCAGCCAGTTCCTCGAGGAGAACCAAGACTATTGTTACTGCTCGGACTCTGGAAGCCCGGGGGCAGTGAGCTGCTGGGTGAGGAGCCACATTGGCACCTAGGGTGAGGCCCAGTGCCCTCTCAACAGCCTGGCAGGGGCGGCTCTGCAGGGGGCCGTAGGCTAAACAGGATGTGTGTGTGCTTCTGAGGCAAGGGCTGAGTCTGGGAACCCTTCCAGAAAGCTCTCCAGCACCCCAGGGAGGGCACAAGGCCCCAGCCTCTTAGCACTCCTGTCCCTGGTTGCCATTTAAATGTGGATGCAATTGTAAAACAAATAAACCTTTTTCCCACCGTCAACACAAGGAAGTAGTTCCTAAGTATTCTTGGCAGCATGTCCTTCCCCTCGAGAGAAAGGAGAAAACCAGCAGAAGATGGAGTAACCCCCCTTTCTTCCAACTGACAGGAAAATCAAAACGCAGAAAGAAAGAGAAATCTGATGGATGAGAAAGTACTTCAGCCTTCTAGAGGAGTGGCAATAGTCACAGGATGGCTCTAGTCTCAGGAAGGAATCGTCACTAGATGGCTCTGTCTCTGGTGGCAAATGCCACTGTAATCACTTTATGTCCTAGAGGGAACCGCCACTGTCAAGTGACTCTGTCGCACCTTTTCAGAAGCCGGGAGGAAGCTGTGTGTCCCAGGCTGGTGACATGGGAAACCTTCTGCTCAGTTTCAGTATTCTACCTCGGGCTACACCAAGCCTTCCTCCACTCCTCTCCTCTTCCTCCTCCTGGAACTGCCCCTTTAGAATTCCATTAAATGAGAGGTGAGAGCCACAACATGCTCCAGTTAGGAGATGAGCTGAGTGACATTCTCCGCTCTGGCCCTGCGCTGGTCCTTCTCATGAGGATCCTTATCGACTAATTGGCATAATTCCAACCAAGGCAACCAGAAAAATCTCTAATGCTAGATTTCTTTTTCTTTTCTTCGTTATGTGTATGAATGTTATGTGCATGTATGTATACATACCATGTGCACACATGGTACCTGCAGAGGGCAGAACTCACAGGATCCCCTGGAACAGGAGTTACAGGTTCTTATTTTTGTTTCTGAGCTAGGATCTCACTATGTAGTTCTGGCTGGCCTGGAACTTCATATGTAAACCATGCTGGTCTTAAACTCACAGAGACCCTCCTGCCTCTGCCTCCCAAATGCTGGGATTAAAGACGTATTTCACCATGCCTGGCCAGAAAGTGCTCTTAACAGCTAAACTATCTTTCCACTCCCAATCCTGGGTTTCTTAATCTCAACATTATCAACATCATGGGGCCAAGTGATGCTTGTGTGTGGAGTGCCCTGAAATGTGCAGGATGTGTGGTGTTGCCCCTCGAGCCCACCAGTCTATGCAGGTATAATCCCTCTCTGTAAGTGTGAAGCCCAGTTGTGTGGGAGAGGGACGTAGTGGTCTCCCAGTCTAGTGGTAACTAGCCTGCCTGGGGTGACTAGCTAACACCAGGCTGCAAGTAGATTTCCTTGTGGGGACTCCGTGTGCCTGCAGAGGAGGCCGGGAGACATGGCAACGGCATCGGGGATTCTCAGGAACCACTGTGAGACTCAGAATGCATATAAATTGTGCTTTGTAAGTCTGGGCTAATTTTCCTCAAACTGGTGAGAACGACGACATAATTTCTTCTTCCTGAGGCTCAAAACCCTTTATCAGCAGAGTGCTGGGGACCAGGTGCTCAGCTCAGTTTTGACTGACAGGCAAGAACGGATCTTGGCAGAGTATGCAACAAAGAAGCCCAGATCCATGTCCTCCCCCCTCTACTCTGACCTGATGATGACCTTGGGGAAACCTCTCACCTTTGGGGCCTGGTGTCCTTTACAGCAAAACAAAGGGGACACCTCTTAGAGCTGTTAGGAGAAGTGAATAAGATCAAAGCTAGAAGCACACTTAAAGGAAAGTGCCCCCCAAAATCTCAGGATTGAGGGGTACAGGGCCTGGTTGCCATCTGCTTCCATCTTCTTGATTCAGATTTTTTTTTTCGAGACAGGGTTTCTCTGTGTAACTTTGCGCCTTTCCTGGATCTCGCTCAGTAGACCAGGCTGGCCTTGAACTCACAGAGATCCGCCTGGCTCTGCCTCCTGAGTGCTGGGATTAAAGGCGTGCGCCACCTACACCCGGCTTTGATTCGGATTTTTGATAGATAAATTGCCACATCATTGTGGACCTTAGCCTGTCAAAAGAAGCACATTCAGTTAGTGTCAACTTTGACTTGGAAACACAATAGAGGCGGGCTAAACATCAACCTCCTAATTCTACCTATTGCCGTCCCCAAAACACAGGCGCCCTTCCACCCAGGTGGCCCTGCTGTGGTGTGTAGCCTCCCCTGGTCTCCATGCATAGACTAGGCCAGTGGTTCTCAACCTTCCCGTGCTGTGGC